GTTCTGGCTTCTGGGATAGCTGCGCAGCCTGCATTCGCTCCATAAGACGCACACACATTTCCCCTTGCTTTTTAGGAGGGGAAAAGTGAGTCTTATAGAGCAAAAAATACAGTAAAAGGACACATTCTACTCATGTAAAAACACCAGGCAGGCCCCACAAATAACCCAGAGATGCATTTTAAATCAAAGGACACATTCTACTCATGTGAAAACACGCTGATTCACGGACCGTCCGCGGGCCGGATTGAGAAGGCGATTGGGCCAGATCCGGCCCCTGGGCCTTAGTTTGTCTAGCCATGTACAGTGGTACCTCGGGTTACAGACGCTTCAGGTTACAGACTCCGCTAACCCAGAAATATTACCTCGGGTTAAGAACTTTGCTTCAGGATGAGAACGCAAATTGCGCGGCGGCGGCAGCAGGAGGCCCCATTAGCTAAAGTGGTACCTCAGGTTAAGAACAGTTTCAGGTTAAGAACGGACCTCCAGAACGAATTAAGTTCTTAACCCAAGGTACCACTGTGTTACACCGTCTTTTTAAACAGGGAAGGACATCACAGATGGGGCAAGAGGATTTTTGTCTCGGGCGTCCATCTTTGAAGAATTGCATTTCTCGGTGCATGAGCTCCTGGCAGCTTTCTTTCCCGGAGCAAATCCGCCCTCCGCCCCCAGAACACCCTTTGCGAGTCCTCGGTGCGACGCGTTCTTTCCGTAGAACCCGACAGGCAATAAAAAGATCAGCCCAAAGCCCTATGAAAACCGCCTCCAGCGAAAGCCCATAAAATGATTCCCAGCGTTTAGGTAGCTCCGCCTGGAAACCACATGCAACTCGCAAGAGAATGGCAGCTTCAGAAAAGGTGCTCATTTGTGCCACAGCAGTTCTGATTTCTCAGTAAAGCGTAGCGTGTAGCGTGGAATCATGGAATCGTCGGAAATGCAAAGAAAGGGAAGGTATCTTCTACTGCATGTGGTGGACTTGTAAAGAGGTGAAGGCTTTCTGGGAAATGGTATTCTTGTTGTTGTTTAGTCGTTTAGTGGTGTCCGACTCTTCGTCACCCCCTGGTCGCTTCGAGAACACTGTCGCACCATCTTGTCCTCCGTCGTCCCCTTCTCCTTGTGCCCTCCATCATTCCCAACATCAGGGTCTTTTCCAGGGAGTCTTCTCTGGAAAAGAGTCTTGGAGCCTCAGCTTCAGGATCTGCAATTCAGCAAATTTACATGATATTAGAAAGGTTATTGCAAGCAATTAACATCACTAGCGGGGTTGTCTGAAGACTTGTAATGAGAAATTGTCCACCTTTCTATGTTTATTTAAATTTTGAGCCATTTTGTAATGAGTGTGGTTAAAATTGGATAACGTAGAAAATGCACCTTGCCAACAAAGGTCCCTATAGTTAAAGCTCTGGTTTTCCCAGTAGTGATGTATGGAAGTGAGAGCTGGACCATCAAGAAGGCTGATTGCCGAAGAATGGATGCTTTTGAATTCTGGTGCTGGAGGAGACTCTTGAGAGTCCCATGGACTGCAAGAAGACCAAACCTCTCCATTCGGAAGGAAATCAGCCCTGAGTGCTCACTGGAAGGACAGATCCTGAAGCTGAGGCTCCAATACTTTGGCCACCTCATGAGAAGAAAAGACTCCCTGGAAAAGACCCTGATGCTGGGAAAGATGGGGGGCAGAAGGAGAAGGGGACGACGGAGGACAAGATGGTGGGACAGTGTTCTCTAAGCTACCAGCATGAGTTTGACCAAACTGGGGGAGGCAGTGGAAGACAGGAGGGCCTGGCGTGCTCTGGTCCAGGGGGTCATGAAGAGGTGGACATGACTAAATGACTAAACAACAACAACAACAATTTATACAAATATGGTGCCAGGGAATCAAACTGAGAAGGGGGGGGGGAGGCATACCAAGGACAGAGTTTCTTTATAATGGCCAGATTGTTCTTTTGCTCTAAGTCCTTCAGACACTGTCCAATTAGCTTTTTTGCTTTAACAAACCCCATAGTGAGAAGCTGATCTAGGTGGAGTCCGCAGGAGGGGAATTTTTGGCTGCTCGAATTCTTATAGCCAAGAAATGGAAAACACAAGAATTACCAACTGTGGAAGAATGGCAGATGAAAACGATGGAATATATGGAGCTCGCTGACCTTACTGGAAGAATCCGCGACCAAAAAGAAGAGGAATACCAAGAAGAGTGGAAGAAGTTTAAGGACTATTTGAATAAATACTGTGATATCAAAAATTAGAAATTACTTGAAAGTACCAGATTAGGCCTAGGATTAAATTAAGAGTTAATTAAATAAATAAGATTTAGAACCTAAAGGAAAGTTAAGAAATTTTATTTCAATTGGAATACTGTGTTTTAAAAAAATGATACCAGAAAACTGCTACATTTTAATTACAAGGAAATTCAGAGGAAGCCCAAAATATGTTTATGAGGTTAGAAGTCTAAATAATTAATTAGTTTGTGTTGTTTAGGTGTTTAGGTACCTTGTTTTTATTTTCTTTTTTGTTTATATTTGTGATTTGTCTTTTTTCTTTTTCTTTTGTTTTTTCTCTGTTTTTCTTTTGTTGTGATATGTGTTATATCTGTAAGAAACTTAATAAAAATTATTTTTTAAAAAAAAAAAAAGGAGAGGAATTTTCGGTGCACAATTTTAGACCACGCACTTTTATGGGGGTCTTGTGTCACTAAGGGCAGTAGACCGGGTGGATTTAGATTTCGATGGAGCCAATAATTGAGAGTTCTTTGCCAGGACTGAGCTTCTACAAAGGGAAGACTTGCCCCCAGTTGTAATGTTGCATTTGGGACACAAGGTGGTCATGGGACTAGGATGCTGGACTTACGTTCCTATAGGTGGTAGGGGATTGGAGCCCAGTTCTCTGCAACCCACGTCTTTCATAGAATCATAGCATCATAGAGTTGGAATAGACCACAAGGGCCATCGAGTCCAACCCCCTGCCAAGCAGGAAACACCATCAGAGCACTCCTGACATATGGTTGTCAAGCCTCTGCTTAAAGACCTCCAAAGAAGGAGACTCCACCACACTCCTTGGCAGCAAATTCCACTGTCAAACAGCTCTTACTGTCAGGAAGTTCTTCCTAATGTTTAGGTGGAATCTTCTTTCTTGTCGTTTGGATCCATTGCTCCGTGTCCGCTTCTCTGGAGCAGCAGAGAACAACCTTTCTCCCTCCTCTAGATGACATCCTTTCATATATTTGAACATGGCTATCATATCACCCCTTCACCTCCTCTTCTCCAGGCTAAACATGCCCAGCTCCCTTTGACCATTTTGGTTGCCCTCCTCTGGACACCTTCCAGTTTGTCAGTGTCCTTCTTGAACTGTGGTGCCCAGAACTGGACACAGTACTCCAGGTGAGGTCTGACCAGAGCAGAATACAGGGGCACTATTACTTCCCTTGATCTAGATGCTATACTCCTATTGATGCAGCCCAGAATTGCATTGGCTTTTTTAGCTGCCGCGTCACACTGTTGGCTCATGTCAAGTTTGTGGTCAACCAAGACTCCTAGATCCTTTTCACATGTACTGCTCTCATTGCCTCTGAGCATCTGCAGAGTGCCTTTTCTCTTTTGCAACTTGCGGGTGCTGGACTGGATTCAGCCTCCACCTCACGTCCTCATCTTCTAAGCTGCAACAGCCTGCCTTTAGGCATTGCTAAATTGCTTCTCTGCAAGCACAGCCTGTCCCTGGGGCGACGGGGTTTAAAGGAAGAGCCAAATGAGTATTTATTGATGAGCTGTCTCTAAAAAGGCAGGAGCGCATCGCTCTGAGAGATAATTGCTCCATTACAGAGCGGCTGCTTTATAGGCGAAAAGGGTTTCGGGACCAAGGGATATCGAGAGTTTTCTGGAAACTGCTTTGGGCGTGTGAAAGGGGACAGAATCACAGAGATGGTAAAAGGTAAAGGGACCCCTGACCATTAGGTCCAGTCGTGGCCGACTCTGGGGTTGCGGCGCTCATCTTGCTTTACTGGCCGAGGGATCCGGTGTACAGCTTCTGGGTCATGTGGCCAGCAGGACTAAGCTGCTTCTGGCGAACCAGAGCATCGCACGGAAACGCCGTTTACCTTCCCGCCAGAGCGGTACCTATTTATCTACTTGCACTTTGACGTGCTTTCGAACTGTGAGGTTGACAGGACTTGTCGATCAGACGGTTGGCGGTTTGAATCCCCGCGACGGGGTGAGCTCACGTTGCTCTGTCCCAGCTCCTGCCAACCTAGCAGTTCGAAAGCACACCAGCGCAAGTAGATAAAACCACTCCAGCGGGAAGGTAAACGGCGTTTCCGTGCTCTCTGGTTTCCATCACGGTGTCCCGTTGCACCTGAAGTGGTTTAGTCCTGCTGGTCATACGACCCGGAAAACTATCTGCGGACAAACGCCGGCTCCCTCGGCCTGAAAGCGAGATGAGCGCCACAACCCCCTAGTCGACTTTGAGTGGACTGAACCGTCCAGGGGTCCTTTACCTTTACTTGTGACGACAGCGAGGAAGCCTCGTTCTACCTGTAGTGACTCCATTAAAGTAAAGGGACCCCTGACCATTAGGTCCAGTCGTGGCCGACTCTGGGGTTGCGGCGCTCATCTCGCTTTATTGGCCAAGGGAGCTGGCGTACAGCTTCCGGGTCATGTGGCCAGCATGACTAAGCCGCTTCTGGCAAACCAGAGCAGCGCACGGAAACGCTGTTTACCTTCCAGCTGGGGTGGTACCTACTTATCTACTTGCGCTTTGACGTGCTTTGGAACTGCTGGGTTGGCAGGAGCAGGGACCGAACAACGGGAGCTCACCCCGTCGCGGGGATTTGAACTGCCGGCCTTCCGATCGGCAAGTCCTAGGCTCTGTGGTTTAACCCACAGCGCCACCCGCGTCCCAAGTGGCTAACAAGCAGTGTTTGACCCCAAGTTGCCTTCTGTTCCTTTTCCTGGCCTCTTGTGACCAAACCCAGGCAGAGAACAACGCCTGCTAACCTGACTTATTCCCCTCTGTAGGATCGTCGCTGTGCCGCTGAGCAGAAAAATGGGACTGAGGGAGAAAGTGCGAAGGAAAGCTCCTCCGAACCCTGTCCTGGAAGCTTTTTACACCACGCAAGGGAAAAGCCCCAAAGAGGTGAGTACCGGTAGCTGCAGAAGTCTTTGCAACCAGGTTCTACTGGTTCCTAGAAGGAGGGCTGTTTTCTCCTGCCAGATTTGCTATTCTTCAGCCACTAAACAAAGTGGAATGTGAATGTACAACACCAGGAACTCCCCTCCGAAAAAGAGAAAGAGCAACAACAACAACAACAACAACAACAACAACAACAATAATAATAATAATAATAATATTTTATTATTTATACCCCACCCATCTGGCTGGGTTTCCCCAGCCCCTCTGGGCGGCTCCCAACAGAATATTGAAAACACAATAAAACATTTAAAAAACTTCCCTAAACAGGGCTGCCTTCAGATGTCTTCTAAAAGTCAGGTAGCTGTTTATTTCCTTGAAATCTGATGGGAGGGCGTTCCACAGGGCGGGCACCACCACCAAGAAGGCCCTCTGCCTGGTTCCCTGTAACCTCACTTCTCGCAGGGAGGGAACCGCCAGAAGGCCCTCGGAGCTGGACCTCAGTGTCCGGGCTGGACGATGGGGGTGGAGACGCTCCTTCAGGTATACTGGGCCGTTTAGGGCTTTCAAGGTCAGCACCGACACTTTGAATTGTGCTCCAAAACATACTGGGAGCCAATGGAGGTCTTTCAGGACCAGTGTTATGTGGTCTCAACGGCCACTCCCAGTCACCAGTCCAGCTGCCGCATTCTGGATGAGTTGTAGTTTCTGGTTCACCTTCAAAGGTAGCCCCACGTGGAGCGCATTGCAGTAGTCCAAGCGGGAGATAACCAGAGCATGCACCACTCTGGCCAGACAATCTGTCGGCAGGGAGGGTCTTATCCTGCGTACCAGATGGAGCTGCCCTGGATGCAGAATGGACCTGCGCCTCCATGGACAGCTGTGAGTCCAAAATGACTCCCAGGCTGCACATCTGGTCCTTCAGGGGCACAGTGACCCCATTCAGGACCAGGGAGCCCCCACACCTGCCCCTTGTCCCCCCAAAACATAAATGCATGCAATTGTATCCAGATCACTTCTTCTACAACTGCCTGGTTTGCAATTAGCCATGTTAAAAAGGTAAAGGGACCCCTGACCATTAGGTCCAGACGTGACCAACTCTGGAGTTGCGCCGCTCATCTCGCTTTACTGGCCGAGGGAGCCGGCGTACAGCTTCCGGGTCATGTGGCCAGCAGGACTAAGCCGCTTCTGGCGAACAGCACACGGAAACGCCGTTTACCTTCCCGCCGGAGCGGTACCTATGCACTTTTGGTGTGCTTTCGAACTGCTAGGTTGGCAGGAACAGGGACCGAGCAACGGGAGCTCACCCCGCCGCAGGGATTCGAACCGCCGACCTTCTGATTGGCAAGTCCTAAGCTCTGTGGTTTAACCCACAGTGCCACCTGCGTCCCTCTATATTAGCCATCTGTAATAAACCATCTGTAATAAAACTTAAAGCAGGGGTTTGAACCTTTTTGCCCCGGTGGGCCAGATCGCTGTCTGTATCCCTGTTGCCCTCCAGGGGCCAACCTTGATAGGTGGGTGGGATAACACACCTGTCGACCACCTGACCGACAGTCCGCCAAGCCACACCCACCTGCCAATCACCTGGCATCCAACTTTCAAGAGACTTAGATTTCCTCCCACTATAACAAAACTGGCGGTGATCTGCCAGAGCTGTTGGGCTATTTTTTAGCAAGCAAAAGTTGTTGAGTTAGTTAGTTTTTTAGACTGGGGGGGGGGGGGTTTCCCATGATCTACTGCAATCTACCTGTTCCCTGGCCTCTCTTTCAGGGCGAACTCATCGGTCTGGCCAAACAGTGCGACTTACAGCCCAGGCAGGTGGAGCGATGGTTCCGATATCGCCGTAACCAGGACCGGCCCAGCTTGACCAAGAAGTTCTGCGAAGCCAGGTAAAAAAATATCAAAACACACACGCAGTTTAAGATATTTCATATTTCCCCAGCCACTCTGGGCGGCTTCCAACAAAACACTAAAATACAATAACCTATTAAACATAACCTAGGACTTGCCGATCGCATGGTCGGCAGTTCGAATCCCCGTGGCGGGGTGAGCTCCTGTCCTTCGGTCCCAGCTCCTGCCCACCTAGCAGTTCGAAAGCACTCTTAAGTGCAAGTAGATAAATAGGTACCGCTTTATAGCGGGAAGGTAAACGGTGTTTCCGTGTGCTGCGCTGGTGCTGGCTCGCCAGAGCAGCTTCATCACGCTGGCCACATGACCCGGAAGTGTCTCCGGACAGCGCTGGCCCCCGGCCTCTTAAGTGAGATGGGCGCACAACCCTAGAGTCGGACACGACTGGCCCGTACGGGCAGGGGTACCTTTACCTTATTAAACATTAAAAGCTTCCCTAAACAGGGCTGCCTTTAGATGTCTTCTAATCCTATAGCAGAATAGAATCCTAATAGAATCCTATTAGCAGCACCCAAAAAATAGAGTGTTGTTGCCTTTAGCAAAATCAAGTAGAGCTACATATTTTGACACAGGTAGGTAACTGTGTTGGTCTGACGCAGTCAAAATATATTTAAAATTTTTTAAAAAATTGTCCAGTAGCACCTTAGAGACCAACTAAGTTTATTCTTAAGGGACGCGGGTGGCGCTGTGGGTTAAACCACAGACCGTAGGAGGTCGGAGGTTTGAATCCCCGCAATGGGATGAGCTCCCATTGCTCGGTCCCTGCTCCTGCCAACCTAGCAGTTCGAAAGCACGTCAAAGTGCAAGTAGATAAATAGGTACCGCTCCGGCGGGAAGGTAAACGGCGTTTCCATGCGCTGTTCGCCAGAAGCTGCTTAGTCCTGCTGGCCACATGACCCGGAAGCTGTACGCCGGCTCCCTCAGCCAATAAAGCGAGATGAGCGCAGCAACTCCAGAGTCAGCCACGACTGGACCTAATGGTCAGGGGTCCCTTTACCTGTACCCTTAAGTTTGTTCTTGGTATAAGCTTTTGTGTGCATGCACACTTCTTCAGATACATATTTTGACTAAATGTTCTCCTGAACAGTTTGTGCTGCTGCCGCCTTTTGTGTGACCCAAGATGCCGGAACATTTTAATTATGGTTTATCTCATCCTTACCCAAAGTAAAATTGCTAACGCTGTCCTGGAACAATCTATTACCAATACCCTTTCCTTAAGGGACATGATCATTTGTCACTTAAGCAATCACTTTCAAGTGGATTGCCAAATGATAGAATGCAAGATTAGGAAAAATTCCACTCCCCTCCCTTTAACGTGGGTTTACTTCTAAAGCGGATAATTTTACCCTTGGAGTTTTGATTTCCCATAGACATGATAATAGGGATGCGGGTGGTGCTGTGATCTAAACCACTGAGCCTCTTGGGCTTGCTGATCAGAAGGTCGGCAGTTCGAATCCCCGCGATGGGGTTAAGAATAATAATAATATTATAATAATTTATTATTTATACCCCGCTCATCTGGCTGGTTTCCCCAGCCACTCTGGGTGGCTTCCAACAAAATATTAAAATGGTCAGAGCCCAGGACTTGCCGATCGGAAGGTCAGCGGTTCGAATCCCGGCGACGGGGTGAGCTCCAGTTGCTCGGTCCCTGCTCCTGCCAACCTAGCAGTTTGAAAGCACCTCAAAGTGCAAGTAGATAAATAGGTATCACTCCGGCGGGAAGGTAAACGGCGTTTCAGTGCGCTGCTCTGGTTCGCCAGAAGCGGCTTAGTCCTGCTGGCCACATGACCCGGAAGCTGTACGCCGGCTCCTCGGCCAATAAAGCGAGATGAGCGCCGCAACCCCAGAGTCGGTCATGACTGGACCTAATGGTCAGGGGTCCCTTTACCTTTAGCTTTTAAAACATTTTTAGAGCTGATCAGGATGTTAGTGCCTTTCAGGAGTGCCAGAGGACTTAAACAGAAATGGAAGCAGGAGCATAAGCACAAAAATGTTCCCTTACTCATCTCAGGTGTAGGACAGATATCAGTCCGGTGAATATGATCAGTATTCGCTTTTCGAATCCTACAACTATAGAGCGGAAGGGACCCCAAGGGCCATCGAGTCCAACCCCCTGCAGTGCATGGATCACATTTCAAGAGTCCATGACAGGTGGCCCTCCAACCTCTGCTTAAAAACATCTAAGGAAGGAGAGTGCACCACCTCCCGAGGGAGAACGTTCCACTGCTGGACGGCTCTCACTGGTCAGAAAGTTCTTCCTGATATTCAGTTGGAATCTCCTGTCTTGCGACTTGAAGCCATGGGTTCGAGTCCTGCCCTCCGGAGCAGGAGAAAACAAATTGCTCCACTTGACAGCTCTTGAGATCGTTTGAAGATGGCTATGTGGGGACGCGGGTGGCGCTGTGGGTTAAACCACGGAGCCTAGGGCTTGCCAATCAGAAGGTCGGCAATGTACAATGAAACCAGGGCAGAATTTATGTTTGATGAGGCCCTGAGCTACTGAAGGCAATGGGGCCCTTTCTATGTCCAGCTGTCCTTTGTCAACAACAAATTGCCGCTGTTTTTTGTGTCGATTATATGCTATATGGTAATTGATGGACCTAATAGGTATCTCAAGCCATTTGCCACTGTTGTTGTATGTAGGTTTTATTTTATTTGTTTTTCATCTTATATTTTGGAAATCTACATCCAGGTTGGTTTTTTCCTTTAAATTTTTTGGAGGCCTCCAAGAAAGTGGGGCCCTAAACTATAGCTTGTTTATACGTAAATCCGGCACTGAACAAGACAAAATGTGTATCTGAATTAGGAATATGGGTGAAACTCAATTCAGTGTGCATTCTAAGCCAAACCTTTTCTAATATGCACAATTTATGGACTTGAGACCCTGTCGTCTTTCCAAAATTCGCACTTCCCAGAATTTTTGCAGCGCAGATCTACAGTCACGTAACCTGCACAAAAGTAATTCTACTAGGAAGCACTGTGCATAACAACAACAAAATCCCACATATTAGCCAAGTTAGCATATAAAAAAATGTGCCCTGATAGACTAAACCGCTTTGCGGAATATTGGGAGAACTCAAGTTGTATTGTTGTAAACAAAAATTGCTCTTTTCCCTTATGGGGTATCCAAGAGCCCATATAGAGTCCTTACATAGGTTCCCCATTGGTAGGAGAGAATAACAGAGGCCAACAAAAGAATATTGAGAAGCAAAGCAGCCGATAAGCCTGATCTTTATTGATCTGTTGCAACAGGGTGCTCCCCTCACCCGCAGGATAGAGGAGGGACCCAGAAAAATGGCGTGCAAGGCCTTATAAAGACTTTTGAAATTGCCACCCTGTAGATCAAGACCACCCCCAGAAACATCATACATACATCACAGAAGGGGTGTAACCTAAGACCATCCCCTCAGATACATCACACCTACATCACAGAAAAGGCGGTCTAAAACAGAAATTTGAATATTGTTTACTCCTGTTGTTGTTTATCTCCTGTCTGGCAGGTTACTTGATTGGATTGCCTGGGGAGCCTGGCCAGTCTTTTGTAGTGATAAATATTTAGTTCCTGGGCCAGGTCACAGGCTCACACCCTATTCAAACACAGACATACCCTTAAGACAGGATTTGTGAAGGAAAAGACAATGGGGAGGTTTCCCACTTTGACCTTGCAGAGAAAACATTTGATCAGTTTGGGAATCAAAATGGTTCCAGGTCGGTCTTCCTGTGCTGATCTATGTACACGTGCTTGGTTGGTACACTTACGAACATTACCATATATCTAAGACCATAAAATTCCTATCACAGTATCCAGTGAAGGGAATCAGTTACCCACTAGGGGAGAATGGTTATGTAAGCTTCCAGAATATTTAGAATTAGCCAAATTGACAGATATAAGAAGACGAAAACCAAAAAGTGAAGTGAAAAAGGAATGGGAGTGCCTAAATGAATACCTTAAAAGCCAAGGTTCGAGGACAGAAATCTGGCCGAGTCTGGAATAACCTTGTGAAGTGAAAGGATAAGAAAGAGGGATTTATACCTAGATGTTAGGATAGAGATGATAAAGAAGACAGGATGATACAATAAAGGAGGTGCTGTGGGATTGATGGAAATCAATGTTTGTTTTTCTTTTTAGTGTTTATATTATTAACTTGTAAAATATGGATTTGTTTGGTTTTTTGCTATGCTGGTTTTTGTGCTTCGTGTATTGTTATTTTTTGACATTTTTCGTGTGTGGAAAATACTAATAAAATTTATTGTTTATTAAAACAAACAAACAAGTTGTATCCATTGGACTCTGGTTTGGTGTACGTCTGACTTAGTCCTTCTCCCGAGTCATGAATTCACAGATCTGCCCTGATTTTTCTTATTCTCTTCCAGCTGGAGGTGCACGTTTTACTACACGTCCTTTTGCACCGGTTTGGCAGTCCTTCACGACGTGAGTTGCAACAACAACACTTTATAATAATAATTTATTATTTGTACCCCGCCCACCTGGCAGAGTTTCCCCAGCCACTCTGGGCGGCTCCCAATTGAGTGTTAAAAACAATACAGCATTAAATATTAAAAACTTCTCTAAACAGGGCTGCCTTCAGATGTCTTTTAAAGATAAGATAGCTACTTATTTCCTTCACATCTGAAGGGAAACTTTTCAGTTTTATAGCTCCTTATCCAAAAGGCAGGCTGCCACCCGCTTTCCTATGGGGCAGGGGTCTGCAACCTTTAAGACAAAAAGAGCCACTTGGACCCGTTTCCGAAGAAAAAACAACAACTGGGAGCCGCAAAACCATTGCGACATTTAAAACAAATATATCTCCGGAGCCGCGATCTGACAGCGGGCAGGAAGGTGACGTCGGGACGGTGCGTGACTAACGCACGCACCGCCCCCATGCGACGTCACAGCCAGTACAGCGCCCGCCACAGTGGGGAGTGTCGGGGCGCACAATGCGCCTCCTCCCCTCGCTAGTATCCGCCCTGGAGCCGCGGCAAAGATGTAAAAGAGCCACATGCGGCTCCAGAGCCGCGGGTTGCAGACCCCTGCTATGGGGCATATGGGACAATAGAGAAATGTGCAATTATTCTTACAGATTTTTGTCTCCTTGCAGAAACCCTGGTTCTGGGACCACCGCGAGTGTTGGGTCAGGTATCCACAACAGGTAAGCAGCCGAGAAGCTTCCGAGAACCTTCTTGAATTAATCAGAATAGGAAAGATCTCTACACATCAGATCAATACTTTCTGCACTAAGAATCTGCTGCAAGATTGTCGCACGAGCGCCTGGGCTAAAATTGTCTATCAGACACTTCACTCTTGTGGTTTATCCCCACAACAGGTACCGTATTTTTTGCTCTATAAGACTCACTTTTTCCCTCCTAAAAGGGGAAATGTGTGTGCGTCTTATGGAGCGAATGCAGGCTGCGCAGCTATCCCAGAAGCCAGAACAGCAAGAGGGATTGCTGCTTTCCCTGCTGTTCTGGCTTCTGAGATTCAGATTTTTTTTTTCTTGTTTTCCTCCTCCAAAAACTAGGCGCGTCTTGTGGTCTGGTGCGTCTTAAAGAGCGAAAAATACGGTACTCACTTTGGTAAAGCAAATGGTCCAATTTGTCAGCGCCTAAATGATAATCGTATGGGACGCGGGTGGCGCTGTGGGTAAAAGCCTCAGCGCCTAGGGCTTGCCGATCGAAAGGTCGGCGGTTCGAATCCCCGCGACGGGGTGCGCTCCCGTTGCTCGGTCCCAGCGCCTGCCAACCTAGCAGTTCGAAAGCACCTCCGGGTGCAAGTAGATAAATAGGGACCGCTTACCAGCGGGAAGGTAAACGGTGTTTCCGTGTGCTGCGCTGGCTCGCCAGATGCAGCTTTGTCACGCTGGCCACGTGACCCGGAAGTGTCTCCGGACAGCACTGGCCCCCGGCCTCTTGAGTGAGAGGGCGCACAACCCTACAGTCTGTCAAGACTGGCCCGTACGGGCAGGGGTACCTTTACCTTTTTAAATGATAATCGAGCGTCAGAACAACTGGGCCACGATAAGGAAATTTTGCCCGTGCTACGACTATTTTCCACCTTCCCATTTCGACTCTCCGGCACCCTCTATGCATAACCTAGCAATTCTAAAACATAGACGGGATTTTACTCTCACAAGATTGAATGTCTTGCCCTCGGCTGGACTTTGAGGGACGATTCCAACAGATTCCAAACGGAAAACGTTTATGTCCCTGTGGAGATGGCAGTACCGAATCGGTGGCGCATGCCCTTCTGGCTTGCATTCTTTATAAAGACTTGAGGAATGAGATTATCACCCCTCTTTTATTATTGTCTATTCCGGGTTGCCCAGCCACTGCCACAGCGTCCTTTCTCTTGGCAGATCAAGATGAGCAGGTGACAGCAAAGGTGGCAAGGTTTTTAGCTGGGGCAGTCAGAATAAGATCCACTATTTGACTATTGATTCAAAACCCTAAAATGTGTTTTATATAATTGACTTTTTATTTCTATTCTTGGTTTATCGTCGTGTTGCTTTGCAGGGGTGCCCAAACTTTTTCCAAAGAGGGGCAGATTTGATGAGGGTCAGCCAAAGTTGTTGAAGTTTCAGGATTGAAGTTGTTGAGGTTTTTTTAGGGTTGAAGGCCAAATTATTACCTGTGTCAGCCATAGCAATAAAGCAGACATGCCTGCTTTATTGCTATGGCTGACAGAGGTAATAATAAAAATAAAAATAAATTTATACTCCGCCCATCTGGCTGGGTTTCCCCAGCCATTCTGGGCAGCTTCCAAACGAATATTAAAAACAATACAGCGTCTTGTTTCATTCATTTCCGCGCTACTATTTTAATCTTGTAATTTAATCTTGTTTTTAAGTTGTATTCATTCAGCTTGTTTTTATTATTGCTTGTGAGCCGCCTTGAGCCCGGCCTTGGCTGAGGAGAGGGGGGTATAAATAAAAATTATTATTATTATTATTATTACTAAGAAATGCAAACGGACTGAGATTCCGGACCAGGCCCAAGGGCAGCCCCACGCAAAGCCCACGGCGGTAATCTAGCCTTGAGATGCGTTTTCAGATTTATCGGAATAACGTTCCTTCTCTCTCTCCTTCCTACGCCTCTCGTTTCTGGCCCCGCAGCCTCTTCTCCCCTCCATCTTCAGCTACTACATGCTGGAACTCTCGTTCTATTGCTCGCTGGTTTTCACGCTGCCTTTCGACATCAAGCGAAAGGTAAGTAGAAGCATTGGACGGGAGGCAGTCAGTCGAGACTCAAACAACGTAAGAAATGCTTCTCTCCCTATAAACCGTCCCAGACTCTACGTTCATCCTCTGAGGCCCTTCTTCGTGTGCCTCCTCGCAACACGAGAACGGGGCCTTTTCTGTGGTGGCTCCCCGTCTGTGGAACGCTCTCCCAAGGGACGCTCACCGGGCGCCTTCCTTGCCTGTCTGTAGGCGCCAGGTGAAAACCTCCCCCCGATGAATATCACGTTGACTCGAACACTCGCTTTTTTCGGCCAAATCACCGTATTTTTCGCTCTATAAGACGCACCAGACCGCAAGACGCACCTAGTTTTTGGAGGAGGAAAACAAAAAAAATATTCTGAATCTCAGAAGCCAGAACAGCGAGAGGGATCGCTGCGCAGTGAAAGCAGCAATCCCTCTTGCTGTTCTGGCTTCTGGGATAGCTGCGCAGCCTGCATTCGCTCCATAAGACGTACACACATTTCCCCTTACTTTTTAGGAGGGAAAAAGTGAGTCTTATAGAGCAAAAAATACGGTATTTTCGCGGAAATTAAGGCATGCATTGGTACATTTACATTCGCCAGCAAATACCTCTTTCAGGGGGTTGGTTTCAAAGTTCTGGAAATTTAAGATGCGCATTAGATTCGATGGCACATTAGACTTGAGTAAAAAGGGCCGGCTTGGCCAACTTGGCCCTCCAGATGTTTTGGGACTACAATTCCCATCATCGCTGACCACTAGTCCTGTTAGCTAGGGATGATGGGAGTTGTAGTCCCGAAACAGCTGGAGGGCCAGGATTGGCCGTGCCTGAAATAGGGTGATATTAGTAGATGAATGAATGAGCAAATTAATTTAATTGGAGTATGCAGAAGATATTGGAAATGAATTTAAGGAACCGCAGAAAGAGGGGGAATGAAGTCATCTTTTGAAATGTCAAATGGATCGTTAAACTCATGAAATGGATATACTTATTTTTATTATTGTTATCTTCCGCATACCAAAATTCATTTAATATGCTCCTTTAAATTAACCGCTTTAAATATATACTCTTGTGAAACTGCAGGTTATTACAACGATCCTGCTAATGTTTTTATCCCTTTGCAATTTATCTGCAAATGTTCAATTTCCATTTCCATTCTTTTATAAAAAGTTTTGTTATCTTGATTTCTTATCCTTCCGGTAAGTTTCGCCATTTCTGCATATTCAGCAAGTTTTTGTATCCATTCTTCCTTTACTGGAACTTCTCTATCTATCTATCTATCTATCTATCTATCTATCTATCATCTATCTATCTATCTATCTATGTGTTATTTTGAACATCTTTTTCAATTCATTGTACAGTGGTACCTTGGTTTACGAACTTAATCCATTCTGGACGTCTGTTCTTAAACCAAAGCGTTCCTAAACTAAGGTGTGCTTTCCCATAGCAGCGAGGGACTCGATTTACAAATGGAACACACTCGAGAGGAAGCGAAACATGTTCTTATTCCAAGGCAAAGCTCACAAACCAAAACACCTACTTCCGGGTTTGCAGCGTTCTTAATCCAAGTTGTTCATAAACTAAGCTGTTCTTAAACCAAGGTACCACTGTATATCATTTCCCAGTAAGTTTTAACCTTACTATAAGACCACCACAAATGATAAAAAGAACCTTCTTTCTCTTTACATTTCCAACTCTTGTTCGATTTAGAGTTACAGTCGTACGTTGGATCCTGAACGCCTTGCGAGTTGAACGTTTCGGCTCCCGAACACCGCAAAACCCGGAAGCCAGTGTTCCGGTTTGCGAACGTTCTTTGGAACCCGAACGTCCGACGGGGCTTCCGATTGGCTGCAAGGGCTTCCTGCAGCCAGTCAGAATCCGCGCCTTGGTTTCCGAACGTTTTGGAAGTCGAACGGAGTTCCGGAACGGATTCCGTTTGAGGTACCACTATACAGTGGTACCTCGGGTTACATACGCTTCAGGTTACATACGCTTCAGGTTACAGACTCCGCTAACCCAGAAATAGTACTTCGGGTTAAGAACTTTCCTTCAGCATGAGAACTGAAATTGCGCGGCGGCAGCAGGAGGCCCCATTAGCTAAAGTGGTGCTTCAGGTTAAGAACAGTTTCAGGTTAAGAACGGACCTCCAGAACGAATTAAGTACAGTGGTACCTCGGGTTAAGTACTTAATTCGTTCCCGAGGTCCGTTCTTAACCTGAAGCACCACTTTAGCCAATGGGGCCTCCCACTGCTGTCACGCCGCTGGAGCACGATTTCTGTTCTCATCCTGAAGCAAAGTTCTTAACCTGAAGCACTATTTCTGGGTTAGCGCAGTCTGTAACCTGAAGCGTATGTAACCTGAAGCGTATGTAACCTGAGGTACCACTGTATACGTTTTTGCCAGTTAGATACCAACGATATATCCATCTCGCATCCTCAGCCGTTCTGTTATGTACTGAAGTTCTCACCCTGGGCCAGCAGGGGGATACTGTAGATAGTTATGCAAATAAGGGATCGAAAGTGACGTTCAGTGATTGGATAGTTTTAGAAAATTGTTACAGTTACGTTGTACTGGAGCTCTATATAAGCAGGCTGACTGAACCCTTCAGTTCAGTTCTGTCCTGGCCTCTGAATAAACAAGAGCTGTTTGAAGAATCGCTGTGTCGTCTGATATGTTCACCCACAACTTAACACGGTCCATTGCTGTTTCCTCTTCCCCCGCCACTACAGGACTTCAGCGAGCAAATTGTCCACCATGCAGCCACGATTTTCCTCATCAGCTTCTCATACTGTGCCAACTACATCCGTATTGGTACCCTCGTCATGGTCATCCACGATGCGTCCGATTGCTTCCTGGAGGTAAGCGACACCCCTGCCCCAGAAGGGGGGAAACCCAGAGGGGCTGGCCTAGCCCATAGCTGTCAACTTACAGATTTGAAAATAAGGGACCAGCGGCCTCGAAATTAAGGGATCAGCAGCCAAAATAAGGGATTTTCAGAGCACGGGTATGTTCAACTTCTGAGCCCCTCCGAGCCAAAGGCAGAAAGCCCAGCCAGCTGCCAAACAAAGCCCCAAGCGGTGGTTCCCACAGCGCAGCAACCCGGCAAAGGGGACGCAGCAAGGAAAACCACCGCTGGGAAGCGCTGAGCAAAGGTGAGTCCCCAGGCAATGCGGCCGACTTGATCGGCACAAGGCATGCAAGCTCCATCCCCCAGTCTTTCTTAGACTCCTTATTGGGTGAGCAACGCAGCCAAGCAACACAGTTGGAGCCTCCCTCCTCCGTGGCCGGCAGGGAGGGAGGGAGAGGAGCTGCTTCCTTTGAAACCCGAGAAATTTAAGGGACATCATCAATAAGGGGCAGCAGCGGGACACGGTGCCGGGATAAGGGAGTTTTCCGCCAAATAAGGGACGGTTGACAGCTATGACACTGTGGGAAGAGAGTAATCCCCGCAGAGGCTTGGCAGGGAAGTTATGCGCCTCATGTGAGCAGCGTGCGTGCGCTGGGTGGGCCTCTCGACGGCCCGCCAATCCCAGAAGGGCAGAATCAGCTGGCTGCCTCAGTGCCCGCAGCAGAAAAGCCTGTGGCGCTCCGACGGGCTCTGCCCCACTCGGCTGTCCGCTGGCCTGGCTCTTCAATCCCCCGACTCCAAATCTCAGCTCTGAACTCTCGGCCTGGTGCCCCTGAGAGCCTGCCGCCTGGGTGACCCGCACCCCTAGCACCTATGGATAAGCCAGCCCTGGATGCATCCTCTCATGTGAATTTGCCCAATACCTAGATATGGATGCTGAACCCTGTATCGGCCCCACTCCCGATGGAAATTGATTTCAATCCCTTTGGACTTTCACCTTTTCGCACCATAGATGAGCGTGCCAGCCAAAAATATTATCATGACCTTCTAGGTCTAATATATGTGAATTCTCTAATGTCATCCATTCCTTCAACCAACAAAGACGGGATGCCTCATAATATAATCTCATATCTGGCAAGGGGGAAAACCTCTTTCTTTTGTATCTATCAATATTTTATTCTCGGGTGTTCCCCCTTGCCAGATATATTTAGAAATATTTTTTTTGCCATACCTTGAAACAATCGGGGGGGGGGGTGTGACGAGTATGTGAGGGCACCCTGAAATTTTATAACAAGCTGAGTGGCAAACCGCCCCATCAATCACAGCCACTCCAAGCGCCCTGTCTGGTTATGCCAACTTGAGAGGGCAGATTCTTTCTCTTCCATAGACTCACAGTTGCCCTTTGCAGAACTCAGCAGGGAAGAGCAGGAGGGCGCAATATGAGAATCAGTGGCTCTGGTGTCGCCTACTGTTGGGACGCAGGTGGCGCTGTGGTCTAAACCACGGAGCCTCTTGGGCTTGCCGATCCGAAGGTCGGTGGTTCGAATCCCCGTGATGGAGCGAGCTCCCGTTGCTCTGTCCCAGCTCCTGCCAACCTAGCAGTCCGAAAGCACACCAGCGCAAGTAGATAAATAGGTACCACTCTGGTGGGAAGGTAAACAGCATTTCCGTGCGCTCTGGTTTCCGTCACGGTGTCCCATTGCACCAGAAGCGGTTTAGTCCTGCTGGCCACATGACCCAGAAAACTGTCTGCGGACAAACGCCGGCTCCTTCGGCCTGAAAGCGAGATGAGCGCCGCAACCCCATAGTTACCTTTGACTGGACTTAAACGTCCAGGGGTCCTTTACCTTTTTTTACCTTTACCTGTGGGGCTCCCTGGTTTCCACCCGCCCCAAAGGACACAAGCCACCACGGCAGTTCACTGTGATCTTTGGAGTTTGCACTGAAAACTCAGAGAAACTTTGCAGTCCGGTCACAAGCTGAATAGTAGTTGCAAAGGAAACCTCATTTGTGTCCCTCTGTCGTTTTCCTCTCCCCGTCTCTCTCCCCCCCCCCCTTCTCCAGCCCACGAAGATATTCAACTATCTGAAATGGCGTCGTGTATGTGACATCCTTTTCCTCACTTTCTCTGCGGTTTTCCTTTTCACCCGCCTGGTTATTTTCCCCTACAAGTAAGTAAGACACCTTAAAATCTCTCAAGGGCTGGAAAATAGAGAAATCTCGTTTTTCCCCCTGTTCTGGTGGGTGGGACCTGTCTGTTGTTGCTTCGTCGTTGTTTTTTTCCACGCCGCTTAGAGAGATTTTTGATATATATTAAGCAGTATAGAAAGGGACACGGGTGGCGCTGTGGGTTAAGCCACAGAGCCTAGGACTTGCTGATCAGAAGGTCGGCGGTTTGAATCCCCGCAATGACGGGGTGAGCTCCCGTTGCTCGGTCCCTGCTCCTGCCCACCTAGCAGTTCGAAAGCACGTCAAAGTGCAAGTAGATAAATAGGTACCGCTCCGGCGGGAAGATAAATGGTGTTTCCGTGCGCTGCTCTGGTTCGCCAGAAGCGGCTTAGTCCTGCTGGCCACATGACCCGGAAGCTGTACGCCGGCTCCCTCGGCCAATAAAGCGAGATGAGCGCCACAACCCCAGAGTCGGTCACGACTGGACCTAATGGTCAGGGGTCCCTTTACCTTTAAGCAGTATAGAAATCAACGAATCAGTCGAATAATCCGTACACTGGAACATGTGCAGAGCGCAACCAGGCCTCTAGAAACTAAGCCTTATGAGGAATGGTTGAGGAAGTTGCCTACGTTTAGCTCAAAGAGGAGATTAAGATATTATATGTGATAGGTGTCTGAAGGGCTGTTCTATGAGAGATGGAGCAATTTCATTTTCTCCTAAGGGTAGGACCTGAACCAATCTATTTATGTTATACAGTGGTACCTTGGTTCTCAAACTTAATCCGTTCCGGAAGTCTGTTCCAAAACCAAAGCGTTCCAAAACCAAGGCACGCTTTCCCATAGAAAGTAATGCAAAACGGATTAATCCGTTCCAGACTTTTAAAAACAATCCCTAAAACAGCAATTGAACATGAATTTTCCTATCGAACGAGACCATTGATCCATAAAATTATCAATGTAAAATGCAAATCCAGGAAATGTCCCTGGAAAATAGGGACTTTTGGAAGACATGCCTTGGACTTAGACCATGGGTAGGCAAACTAAGGGCCGGGGGCCGGATCCGGCCCAATCGCCTTCTAAACCCGGCCCGCGGACAGTCCAGGAATCAGCGTGTTTTTACATGAGTAGAATGTGTCCTTTTATTTAAAATGCATCTCTGGATTATTTGTGGGGCACAGGAATTCGTTCATTATTTTTTCTTCAAAATATAGTCCGCCCCTCCCAAGGTCTGAGGGACAGTGGACTGGCCCCCTGCTGAAAAAGTTTGCTGACCCCTGACTTAGACAATCGATATGCACATTTTTACGACTCGCTTGTGGTGGAAATTTCTTTTCAACTGTATTGTTGTTCTTTAACTGATGTCAGACTAAAGGAAGGGCTGCTCAATGCTATTGTTGTTATTAATCCCTTCCTCTTCCTCGCAGGGTCATCTACAACACGTATTACTACTCAATGGAACTGTACCAGCCTTTCTTCGGCTATTACTTCATGAATGCCCTTCTGATGATTCTCCAACTTCTCCACATCTTCTGGTCTTTCTTAATTATCCACATGGTCTACAAGTTTGTCAAAAGTGGCACGGTAGGGACCGAAATTGGGCGAGGGTCGGTGGGCGGGTGAGCATGTTTGCCTAAGTTAAAGTTTTAATGGACTTTTAGAAGACATCTGAAGGCAGCCCTGTTTAGGGACGCTTTTAATGTTTAATAGGTTATTGTATTTTAATATTCTGTTGGAAGCCGCCCAGAAGACTTTTAGATGTCTTCTAAAAGTCTGGTAGTTGTTTTTCTCTTTGACATCTGTTGGGAGGGCGTTCCACAGGGCGGGTGCCACCACCGAGAAGGCCCTCTGCCTGGTTCCCTGTAACCTCACATCTCGCAAGGAGGGAACCGACAGAAGGCCCTCGGCGCTGGACCTCAGTGTCCGGGCTGGACGATGGGGATGGAGACGCTCCTTCAGGTATACTGGACCGAGGCCATTTAGGACTTTAAAGGTCAGCACCAACACTTTGAATTGTGCTCGGAAACGTACTGGGAGCCAATGTAGGTCTTTCAAGACCGGTGTTATGTGGTCTCGGCGGCCGCTCCCAGTCCCCAGTCTAGCTGCCGCATTCTGGATTAGTTGTAGTTTCCGGGTCACCTTCAAAGGTAGCCCCACGTAGAGCGCATTGCAGTAGTCCAAGCGAGAGATAACCAGAATGTCTTTGACATCTGGTGGGAGCGCGTTCCACAGGGCAGGTGCCACCACCGAGAAGGCCCTCTGCCTGGTTCCATGTAACCTGGCTTCTCGCAGCGAGGGAACCACCAGAAGGCCCTCGGCACTGGACCTCAGCGTCCGGACTGGACGATGGGGGTGGAGACGATCCTGACACTGGGAGATTTCTGTGGTGCCCTTGCTGCCTAAAGCACGGGCTGATTTTGCGCAATGGTTCATCCAGCCCTGGTCAAGGAATACTCCTTGCCAGTGCTCCAAATCGAACCGCACAAGCAGAGAAGAGGGAATGGGGCAGTCGCCGCCATTGACCAAAGCTATTTCTCTCCCGGCAGATGGAGAAGGATCTCCGGAGCGACTCGGACGAAAGCGAGAAGGGCGACGACGAGGCAGGGCAAGTGAAGGAAGCCAAGAGGAATGGCGCCATCCACTCAGAGCCCAGCGGCAGCTGCATCGGCAAGGAGCCCCCGCTGCAACTGAACGGCAGGAGCCCCGCCGCCAACGGAGACGCCAAAACCAGATAACTCAAGCCTGGCGCCATCGACTGCCCACCCCCTTAACCAACCCTGCCCCCGTGTCCATACCAGCTTGATCTTTCCTTCTTGTAGGCCCGCGAGGGCGCGAACATAGCCTCCTAGCTGAATCTCTGCTCCCTGCAGGAACAAGAAAACCAAACCAACAAAAGGACCGTGCTTCTTTTCGCAATATTATCCTGTGGGCGGCGTCGGTCGCCGCGAGGTCTGGCGGGGAGGGGTGACGTTGGGTCGAATGTAAAGGCAGCCTTCCCCCGTTCTATTCAGCCGGTCCTGAGTACAGCTTGGCAAGGCTGCTGGGTGGGCGAGGGACCCGTTCGAATCCCACCCAATCGGTTGTTTTAGCTTCTTCAGCCAGCTGGACGGGTTAAAAAACAAGGGACCCCAGCTCCTGAATCAAAAGGGGTGGGATGGGGAGGCAATGACGTCTTCGCAGAAGCTGGGCCGAGCCTCCGCCTCGAGGGGACGCGGCTATGCGTCTTAAGGCGACGCGGGTACCGAGTCCTCGGTCTGCCTGGGTGTGTTTTTTTGCAGTGGGTTATGGGGTTAGCCAAGAAGGAAGAGGCAAGTTGTTGGTGGGTCGCCGTTGGACGGGGATGCTGTCGAAGGCCTGTGTTTTGAAGCCGCGCTCCAGGAGAGGGAGCGAGAAGGACACTGCTGTCTCTATGGGGAGAAGAAACGAGACGATGAGGGGATGGTGTTGCTGTTGCTGTTGCTGTTGCTGCTGCTGCCGCTGCCGCTGCCGCTACTGCTTCTTGTGTGAGCGTCTTACGCCTGTGTTGAGCGGACCACTGGCTAATCCCGAGGAAAAAGAGGACTTGACCTCTTCCTGAGCACGGGTTGCGGGGGGGGGGGAGCACAGGGAAGAGGTGGGGTCCCCATTCCAGTGACCTAGACAGGGAGAGGGTGCACTAAATTGCTGGAACCAATAAAGTCATTGCAGATAAGAAAAGCAAAACAAAAAGCAAAAAACTACTTGCCTCTCTCCATTTTAATGTGCTCGCTCTTAGCGCATCCCCGTCGGAAACACGAATAATAATAATAATAATAAATTTTTATTTATATCCCGCCCTCCCCAGCCGAAGCCGGGCTCAGGGCGGCTAACAACAGTAAAATAATGCAACATTCTAAAATCATTTCATTAAAAAATTACTCCAAATCAAATTGATGGCAACCATTGGGCTAGCCACTGTGACGTTCTGTGAAGATTGCCAAAGGAGGGAGTCAGGCTGTGCCCTGGCCAAAGGCCTGGTGGAACAGCTCTGTCTTGCAGGCCCTGCGGAAAGATGTCAAGTCCCGCAGGGCCCTAGTCTCTTGGGACAGAGCGTTCCACCAGATCGGGGCCACAGCCGAAAAGGCCCTGGCTCTGGTTGAGGCCAGCCTAACCTCTCTGTGGCCTGGGACCTTCAGGATGTTTTTGTTTGAAGACCGTAAGGTCCTCCGTGGGACATACCAGAAGAAGAAACTTCTTCCCCTCCGCCCCCTCCTTCCACCATCGCCACCGCAGTTTCGGCTTGTGCCCTATGAGAAACGCACCCCGTGTGCGCTCAGAGGCGCTCTCGCCGTTCTTAAATATACCCAGATTGAATTCCAATGGGATCTTTAAAAAGCTGGTTTGGAGAACTGCCGGAGGATGAGGCGTGTGAGTCTGGCCTGACGACACAGCCCACCGCAAGGGGTTGGGGGGTCTTTGCTGCACAATTTCCACGGAAGTTAAGATCGTGAGAAAAGGTGCGGCTGGGTTTGGGCAAGGGAAGAGGTCCATCTAAGTTTAGGGATGAGGAAGGTTGAGATGCTGTTGAGATCCTATTCGGCCCCATCGTCTCTGACCAGTGCTGGCTGATGTTGGAGGTCACAACCATATCTGAAAGGCACCGGGTTCCCCAGCGTACAGTTTCCAAAAGAGGACAGCCAAAATAGGAAGCCCTACAGATAGCGTGAGATGAAAACAAACAGCCCTTGTCTGTCCCCAACATATTCATTCATGGGGTGCGAGAACTGAAATATTTAATTTTGGCAACCAATTCATCCCTTTGATTTTGGATAGCACATGGGTTGGTGAGTCTAAAAAAGCCTGAGACACAAATTTTCATGGCTATGATGTTTCATTGACCAGAAGTAATGTATTTAGCATCAACTCTGGAAATATATGCTCGATGTTGACCAAACTGTAAGCCTCCTAAAGCAAAATATGCATCAGGAGGCTTAATGTGGTCAGAATGAAGTACAGTGGTACCTCGGTTCTCAAACTTAATCCTTTCCAGAAGTCCGTTCCAAAACCAAAGCGTTCCAAAACCAAGGCGCGCTTTCCCATTGAAAGTAATGCAAAACGGATTAATCCTTTCCAAACTTTTAAAAACAACCCCTAAAACAGCAATTCAACATGAATCTTACTATCTAACGAGACCATTGACAAACAAAAAGAGTCATAATTCATAGCAAAAACAGACAGACATCAGCATGGCACTCAAATTGGGAGCGTAACATTCAAAACAAAAGCGTAACACTCAAAACATGGAGCATGTTCGGCTTCCGAAAAAAGTTCGCGAACCGGAATACACTTCCGGGTTTGCAGTGTTTGGGTTCCAAGTTGTTTGAGTACCAAGTACCAACACTGTAGTCACTTCCAGAGTTAATTCTAAATATATGACTTCTGGTCAACGTGCCACCATAGCCACAAAACGGTTTGGAAAATTGAGCCCCAGGTTTCCGAGAGTCGTCTACCTATGTACTATCCAAAACCCGAGGTTTGCCAAATGTTAAATACGTTGGCATTGTTTTCACTGTCCTCCCCACTTCATAGATCTCTTTAAAAAAAAACAGCACCGAGGTTCTCTTCACCTTTGGTCAATAATTGGCATTTCCATAAGCAAAGCTCTGCTGGAATTGGAGTGTCAGGCCCTTCTGTTCATTTCAGTGGGCCTTTTATAGGAGAATGCCGTGGTGGATTGGGCCCCGAAGGAGAGCTGCTATTGGGATCCTATTCCACTTCCGGGACCAACATATATTGGTGGGAGTTGGGGAAAAACCAGGACAGCTTCCAGTAACGAATCTAGGGGCATTCACACACAAAAAAGTGCAAGCATCTCATTGCGAGCCGCCAAATTCCACCCGCTCCTGCATGCCAGCAATCCAATATGCTGTTAAGTTACTAACTACTGCTGCATGTTGGCTGCCGGGCACCGCTCCATGTCAGGGAGGAGCTACCTGTAAACTCTTGGCAAATGCACGTGTAACCAAACAATGCAAAAGTTACTGTAACCGGGGGGCCTGGTCTGGGAAGTTGGTTCTAGAATGGGATACAGATGCCATCGTGACCTGTCTAGCCGCTTCTGAACAGACCAATATGTGTCTTTCCTCAAAATTACCACTGGGGGGAGCCGTCGGTTTTCCATCAAGGCAAAATTAAAGGACTTTACCCCCCCCCCTTCCACCAACAGGACTGTGATGTCGATCTTTTTAAAAGTGCATTGATTTAAGAGTCGGAGGCAGCAATGCTGTTTGGGGTTCCCGTTGTGGCGTGTTGTGAGAACAGGATTCTGAACAAGATGGGTAGAGTTCTTTCTATGTTCTCATATTAGCCCCAGACACAGAATGATAATTTGCAGGTGAGATGCAAGAGGTACAATTCAAGGTGTGCCTTCCTATGGGCAGTTTTCATTCCAGCTGGTCATTCATTAAAAAAACCACACCTGTTATTTGAAATCAAACCTTTATTAGGCATTATGCAAATAAAACCATAAAAGGGAAAATAACATATAAAAGCCTTGAAATATATATAAAAAGGCAGCAGTTAGCTACATACATATATATATATATATATACATATAGAATCAGTGGTTTTCCTTGTTAACCTGCTCCTTGGAGGACTGCTACCAAAAACTCGGCTACCCCCGCCGTTACCCTTTGGTCAACGTCGGATAGGCAGAATCCCACACATTCACCTTGCTGGGGTTCCAGACCACCCAAAAGAGGGACAGCACGCGTTGACGGAGCGTACTGTACAATGGGCAATGAAAGAGAATATGCTCTACAGTGTCCGGGACATTCATAGAGCATCTGCAGAATTTAACCTCTAAGCACTATTCGCATATATATTTAAAAAAACATTCTAGGCATGATTAATAATAATAATAATAATAATAATAATAATAATAATAATAATTTATTATTTATACCCCGCCCATCTGGCTGAGTTTCCCCAGCCACTCTGGGCGGCTTCCAATCAAGTGTTAAAAACAATACAGCATTAAATATTAAAAACTGCCTTCAGATGTCTCTTAAAGAGAAGATAGCTGCTTATTTCCTTCACATCTGAAGGGAAGGTGTTCCACAGGGTGGGCGCCACCACCGAGAAGGCCCTCTGTCTGGTTCCCTGTAACCTCACTTCTCGCAATGAGGGAACTGCCAGAAGGCCCTCGGCGCTGGACCTCAGTGTCCGGGCTGGATGATGGGGGTGGAGACGCTTCTTCAGGGATACAGGGCCGTTTAGGGCTTTAAAGGTCAGCACCAACACTTTGAATTGTGCTTAGAAACGTACTGGGAGCCAATGCAGATCTCTCAGGACCGGTGTTATGTGGTCCCGGCGGCCACTCCCAGTCACCAGTCTAGCTGCCGCATTCTGGATTAATTGCAGTTTCCGGGTCACCTTCAAAGGTAGCCCCACATAGAGCGCATTGCAGGAGTCCCAGCGGGAGATAACCAGAGCATGCACCACACTGGTGAGACAGTCTGTGGGCAGGTAGGGTCTCAGCCTGCGTACCATACTGGGAGCCAGTGAAGAGCCTTTTAGGACCTGTGTTATATGGTCTCAGCAGCCATTCCCAGTCCCCAGTCTAGCTGCTGCATTCTGGATTAATTGCAGTTTCCGGGTCACCTTCAAAGGTAGCCCCAGGTAGAGCGCACGTAGATGATTAAAGCTAGAAACTGTCTTCCATCCTGTGAATCAGACCCTCTCCCTTCATTGGCCTTTATTCAGCTCGCAACTGGTCCAGAATTTGCACCAACTCTGCTTCTTCAAATCATAAAAGGTTAAAAGGTAAAGGATCCCCTGGACGGTTAAGTCCAGTCAAAGGCGACTATGGGGTTGCGGCGCTCAGCTCGCTTTCAGGCCAAGGGGGCCGGCGTTTGTGTCTGCGAAGCTTGCAAGCTAGACCTGAACGCAGACCCTCCAAATGTCCCTATTTTCCAGGGACAGTCCCGGATTCATAGAAGCCGTGACAGTTTCTGATTTGATCCTGGGATGCCCCGATTTTCCTTTGGACGTTCCTGTGTCCAGGATTTTGTGCTTTCAAATAAATAAATAAAAAGGACCCCTGGGCGGTTTAAGTCCAGCCAAAGGCAACTATGGGGTTGCAGCGCTCATCTCGCTTACAGGCCGAGGGAGCCAGTGTTTGTCCGCAGACAGCTTTCCGGGTCGTGTGGCCAGCAGGACTAAACCGCTTCTGGTGCAACAGGACACCATGATGGAAACCAGAGCGCACGGAAACGCCGTTTACCTTCCTGCCGCAGTGGTACCTATTTATCTACTTGCGCTGGTGTGCTTTCAAACTGCTAGGTTGGCAGGAGCTGGGACAGAGTAACGGGAGCTCACCCCGTGAAGGGGATTCGAACCTCCGACCTTCCAAGCCCAAGAGGCTCAGGGGTTTAGACCGCAGTGCCACCCGTGTCCCGTTATGGGATACAGATGCCCGTGTCCCGTTATTCAAATCATATGGTGGAATGGACGTGTGCAATCAGCAATTGCGCTCTACAACGCCTTGCAGTGGCTTCATATAGATGTTAAGCAGACTTGCAAGTCGAGATGGCCCTATGGAGGATGAGCATAGCTGTCAACTTATAGATTTGAAAATAAGGGACCAGCAGCCTCGAAAATAAGGGATCAGCAGCCAAAATAAGGGATTTTCAGAGCACAGGTAGGTTCAACTTCTGAGCCCCTCCGAGCCAAAGGCAGAAAGCCCAGCCAGCAGCCAAAC